AGAAAAAAAAAAAAAAAAAAAGAGACAAAGACAAAGTGCTAAAGTAGTATTTAAAAATCTAATAATAACAAAAATGCCTCCAATTTGTGTTTATTTCTTCCATTTAAAAAATTAATTAAAATATTTAAATTTATCAGGACTAAAAAAAAATTGGAGCATGAAATTTTGTAATAACCTAACAAATTCAATTTTTTTTAAAAGAATTAATTAATTTATTAGATATAAATTTATATTTTAAAGTTTGGGTCGAGTAAATTGTGGATTTTAATTTTATATTGAATACTTATAAATTTTAAAATCTTAATTAAAATTTTAGAGTACATTGAAAGTTTTAAGGATTAAATCTGTACTAGAATCCAAACCATTGGTTTATTATTTGAAATCCATTACTTATGGTATTATTTTTGGTATACCCCTTGATAACGGAAACAAACAAATACCAAATGCATAGCTTACGCACCAAAATTTGATAAAATTAAGGAGTAAAATCCTTTGTTGTATGTAAAGTTTTCGTCTAAAATCCAAATTGGACTAAAAGAAATCAGACTTTAAAAAATTATGAAATGAATGCTAAAGAGGAAATTGATGATTGCGAGAACCGAAGATTTGGTACTGTGATAAACACAACCGATTCATGGTTAAGATTTTGAGAAGATAATTTAAATTAATCAGCACTAGTTTGTTCAAAGAATCAGCAGGATTTTGAAAATTCTACTCCAAAACAAGGACAAAATCGCGAGTAATTTGATTCCGCGGTTTATACACAGGCTCGAAGTGATGATATCGTCGATCGGTCGATTAAAGCTATTCGATACGATCTAAATCAACGTTTAACGATAATCTGCCTGAGAAGAAGAAGGTGAAGAAGAAATTAAAGAGGACGGATTGTTTACCGTGAAAATGAAACTGTAACCGCGCTTGAGAACGTCGAGAAGAAACAGAGTTCTTCTCCACATCATTTTGTTGAATTCATCGGACATGTAAAGCTTCTCTCCGCCAAAATCGACTCCTTCCGTCTCCAATTTGAAGCAATTCAGCCGCTGAAATCTGCAGCGATCGTACGACGTTTGATCGACAGCGACGAGAAGAAGATGATCGAGCAATCGTCGAGTATCTTCTCCCATCCAAAAGCTACTGAGAAACACATCGAGCATTGTAGTATCGTCTTTAACGCCTTGATCGGCATACGCCTTGTTTATCACCGCGATTACGATAGTCTTGTTCGCCATCGCCGCCTTCTCCAGTGCAAAATCAAGTTCATCTCGTGCATCGTCCACGGAGTGGAGTAATTCAACCTGCATATTGAAAAATCATCGAGGATCGTAATTATCGAATCCGAAGGTAATCGAGAGAGATCAGAGAGCGTACTGAATTGGAGCGATAGCATTGGGGGAAAAAAACGAGAGGATTCATGGAGGAAGAAGGACCAGAGACAATGAGAAGAAAGGAAGCGATCATAAACAGTAACAGAAATCCATAAGTTATGAGAGGAGGTTTCTTCGGCGGGAAATCCATAGCTTTTTTCTCTCTCTCTTTTTAGGTTTAATTTCTCGTCTCTTATTGAGAGACTCAGAGTCTCTTCATAGTTGCTTCGTTGTTGAGCTTTAGGTGAAAATAAAGTCAACCAAGTATAGTTTCGTTAATAATGCTTATTAAATTACTAATTTTAATTTTCTTTTTATATTCATTTTTAAATTTGATTTTTTTTATATTAAATTATTGTGCTTCGGGGTTGTATTCCAAAGAGGTATTAGCCTCTCCAGAGCCTTCTCTCTCGATAGAAATGAGATATTCACGTGAAGTAGGTGTCCAAATTATCGAGTAATCAGTCAGTATGTAACGACCCAGATCCATTACTAGCAGCTAGCAGATATGGTTTTCTTTGGACTTTTCCTTCCGGGCTTTCTCTCAAAGTTTTAAAAATGCGTTCAAGGTTTCCATACCCTTACAAGGGTGTTTTTGTTCTCCTCTCCAACCAAGGTAGGACATCACACTGTACTACAAAAATAGATGAATAGTCTCCGCCCCTAATTTCCTACAAAAAAAAAAAAAAAAAAAAAAAAAAAAAAAAAAAAAAAAAAAAAAAAAAAAAAAAAANAAAAAAAAAAAAAAAAAAAAACTAATATATATATATAATATTCACCCAGAAAGTTGAAAAGCAGAAATTTTTAATCTATCGTTGAAGGGAAATTATTCCATGTGACGGTCACATTTTGACGATCCCCTCAATTTTATTTATTTTGAGTTGAGATTTTCACCTTACTCAAGCTATTTGCAAGGGGGGAGGAGTGATTCCGACGTGTCGTCCGCACAAAGCCTTCCGAATTCCAATGCAGAATTATCTTTTTCCCTAGCAGGCCACTTTAAATCTTCAGTCTCAAAAGTCTTACAGTTTCGTATTCTCAAAGCCAAAACGACATCAACATTCAATGGTGAAACATTAATAATTCTAGCAGTCAACTTTGTAAAGATTTAAAAATAATATAATAAATCATTCTATAAAATATACAATATCCTTTTCATTCATTTTACTCAAAGCATGAGTTGACTAATGGATAGGATTATACCCTCCAAAAGACATTAAATTTGAAGAGATTTGATAGACAAATGCCAATGAAACTCGTTAAATTTTGTCCAAACTACCAATACAATCTCTTTAGATGTCGAGACTTGAACGTACAACCAGAGAAACCAATGACTAAAGCATATCCCCTCGACCAAGAGATCGCTCGTTCATAACTAAAACAAGCACAACCGTTAAAATACAATATCCTATTCAATCATTCAGAGTTGACTATTTAATAGGATTATACACTTAAAAAGATATTAAATTCGAAGATGATGAAAATCATAAAATGGCCAACAAAAGGGCAAGAGATTCAATAAGTAGATGCCAATAAAACTTGTTAAATTTTATCAAAACTAGCAATGCAATCTCTTCAGACGTCGAGACAAGAAAGTACAATAGGAGAAACCAATAACTAAAGCATATCCCCTCAACCAAGACATCGCTCGTTCAAATCTTCTCCTGAGAAACACAACCTTTAAAAAGGACCCTATAAAGATCATAGAAGTTGTAACATACAAGATAGTTTAATTAGAGGTGATATAGGAAGTTGAATAATAAATGAGAGAGGAGAGAGGCTTAAACATTCTCAGAGAAAATTGCAGGTTGGATGTTTTCTCTTTGGCCTTTTGGGTTTTGGAGGTTGAAGAACCACCTTGACTGCAGCATCAAACACAGCCTTTACATTCTGCATTTCAAGAACAAGGTTCACTTAGCTTGTCCCAATAAGCTCTTTCATGCAGTCATGCACAATAAAAGTGGTCTTGTTGGCAGGGATATGGTGTTAAACAAAGATTATAGCTAAAATCTTGTTTTACTTATTGAGTGGACCAAAAACCCGACAGATTATCTAAACCAGACCAACTATTTTTTGATCTCGAACTTTAGAAAATCGAACTAGCCAATACATATAGTTCAACCAACCGAACTGGTTTGGTTAGTTTCGTAGACTTCTTCGACTTCGACTTACACCCTTAGTTCTTGATTTTAGCACTTCCCAACAGTTCCAATGATAGCTGAACCAAGTTCTTTAATGTTTGTGCTTCTACATTAAGAGGTAATAATCACTAACCTGTTGTGTCTTCGAACTGCACTCAATGTATGCCACTGCTCCAATAAGCTTCTTTAGCTCCTCGCCCTGGAACAAAGTTATTTTGTACATTTCCTTTCCATAAAAACTTAGAATGGCAGAGAGAAAGCAATACATTCTATGACAGCCCAGTGTGAAAACCGACACTGTATACGTCAAATGAGGACTAGCAGACGCGAACACGAGATTCGAAAGGAAAATGAATTAGCTCCAAGTATTGACCTGTTTCGTCGATATTGTACATGCCCCAGGATAGTCCAAGAGGAATTGTTCATTGTCTCTCAGATCTGCCATCCCAAGTAACAGCATACGACTTTCAATCAGAACAATACCACAAACACAAAGAACAGATTTGTGGGGTAGGGGTGAGTGGGGGGCGAGTAGGAGCTTCAAGAATTATCTTCCCCTATAAATTACAGAACAACGAGAGATGCACATTTTAGAGACACAAACAGGCATCATTTTACATAATACGAATATATCTATATCGTGTGGTGATCTAGTTTAATGCACGACTTGTATGCAGAAGTCGATGGTCCAAAAGTCGATCTCTGATTACATGACATTGAAACAAACTTTTTTATATGATTGAGTCCTGGGAAAGTTCAAGAAATATTATTCCATTTGTGGACGTGTGTTCTTATACCAGCCACAAAAACAACCATCAGAAATATTATGAGAATTTTACTTAAGAATGAAGGTATTGATAATTCAGGCAATGGAATTAAAGTTAAAGAAGAAAGGCACCTAGTTTGGTCCCTACAAGAATAATGGGCACTGATGGGGCATAATGCCTCAACTCTGGGATCCACTGCTCCAAAAGAAAAGGACATGAAGAAGAATCTAAATACCATAAAATTGAACCAAAATAATAAGCATAACAAAAATTGTACAGGAAGTGAACTTACTTTCTTTGATATATTTTCAAAGCTGGCCCTACTTATGAGCGAAAAGGCAAGAAGGAAAACATCAGCTCCTCTGTAGCTCAAAGGTCTTAGCCTGCTATAATCTTCTTGACCTGTAAAGGGATCCTTTTATAACATTCTTCCACCACTTTAAAATGGAATTTAGTGGGAATATCTTTTCGTTGAAGATTGGAATACCCATTTTAAAATGAAATTTGAAGCCATAATAGTCTATCTAGCAAATATTGTCCGCTTTGATCCGTCAGCCTCACGGTTCTAAAATGCGTCTGCTAAGAAGAGGTTTCCACACCCTTATAAAGAATGTTTCATTTCCCTCTCCAACTGATGTGGGATCTCACAATCCACCCCCTTGGTAGTCCAATGTCCTCACTGGCACACCGCCCGGTGTCTGGCTCTGATACTATTTGTAATAACCCAAGCTCACCTCTAGCAAATATTGTCTTTTTTGGGCTTTCCCTTCCAAACTTTTCCTCAGGGTTTTATAACGCATCTACTATAGAGAGGGTATAGCCCTACTCCAACCAGTGCTTCGCTCCATCCGATATCTAGCTCTGATACCATTTGTAATAGCCCAAACCCACCGCTAGCAGATATTGTTCCCTTTGGCCCGTTACGTATCGTCATCAACCTCACGATTTTAAAACGTGTCTGCTAGGGAGAGGTATCCACGCCCTTATAAGAAATGATTCGTTCCCCTCTTCAACCGATGTGGAATCTCACTACTTGATAAAACTTGTTCAGACATTCCTATCCTGCAGCTATTGATGACACATAAAAGTTTCTTTCTACAACAAGAAAACTTTGAACGATAATATATTAAAATATGTTGGTATAACTACCAATATAGTCCGATGGTGATTATAGTTTGCGTCTAGTTTCAATTTGATCCTATGATCTTAAAGGCTTCCCTTGTCCTGTAATTTGGATAAATCTCCTAGAACATCAATCCACTTCCCAGCTGTTAAGGTTTTCAAATGTCATTGGAAGTGGCAAGTAGAGGCAATTAGCTTTAAGGTTACACATGAAAGTATAGAAATCTCAGAAAAGAAAATCCAACAATTTAACAACAAAACTGGATAAATGAAGCATGCTTATCAGAAGCAGAGGAAAATTAAATTACCCGCAGTGTCCCAGAGACCTAAATTCACAGATTGGCTATTAACCAAAACATTGGCGCTGAAATTGTCGAAAACAGTAGGAACATAATCCTGCCAAAGCAAAACAAACCATCATGAAACCGAAAATTTCTTCTTTGAAAGCAACAAAATCGCAATTGCAGATAAGCCATGAAATCCAAGAAAACAACCGAAAATAGCAAAATCAAGAGTACGAATCAAACAGAACATGAGAGAAACAAGAGGAGTTCATACAGTCGGAAAAGTGTTGCTAGTGTAAGAAATGAGAAGGCAAGTCTTCCCAACGGCGCCATCTCCAACCGTCACGCACTTAATAAACTTCGTGGCCGCCGTCTGTGCACTTGCGGAAGCAGTGGCGGCGCCGCCGGCCATGGTCGACTGTTTTTTGGATGGAATCTGAAGAAAGTACAGAAAATCTAGACTGAAACCTTAGAATCCGTTTCTTTTTTCTTCTCTTCCTTCAAGTTATGGGGATTGGAAGAAGAAGCGGAGGAGGAGGAGGAGGAGAAATTTGAGAGGAAAAAGTGGGAGGAAGGTTTGAAAAAAGGCTATGGCGAAGAAAAAGAAGGATTGATTGGTGAAATTGGGTTGAAATTGAGGTGTCAGAGAGGGGAAAAGGGGAAACAGAAGGCCCCCCACAGCGACAAAGATGAATCATCGCAAGGGAATCAAGGAGCATCAATTCTGGAAGGAATTGAACGAGAGATTTTTGGAGAGTGGTCTTCTTTTCTTCCAGGACCCATGCAGATACGCGCTTCTACAACGCACTGTCGCTATTTATTCAAAAATTAAAAAAAATTAAAAAAATCAATCTTTCGCTCCCTTTCTATTAAATATAATAAAAATAACTCTCCTTTATTAAAAAAAAAAAAAAAAAAAAAATTAAATTTCTAAAATAATTTTAAAAATACTTTTACCATTAATTTTTTTTAATATTTTGTTTGCGTCACAAAATTTTATTAATACCCCTCTTAAAAAATTTTAAAATAATATTAAATTTTTAACTTTTTAATATAAAAAAGTTATACTAGGGATAATAGTAATAATAAAAAGATAAATAAATACTAACTTAAAGAAATTGAAAATTGAATAAATAAATTAAAAAAAAAAAACTATTCGTCACTACCGCCGGAAAGCGCTAGGGTTTTCTATATTTTTTTTAATCTCTCTTTCAAAATGAATCTGTGAATTTCACTGCGTTGGCTCTGTCCCCCTGCGTTGCCTCTGGAAGGACGTAGTTTAATTCTTGCCTTTTTTTTTTTTTCTTCAATGGATGAAAAGAAGTGAAACCAAGGATTTGCATAGAAAATTGTCGTTCAATGTGCTGATAAGGTATTAATTTCTATCCAATTCTTAATGCAAATGGATGAATGTTAAGGCTTCAGTATAAACCTGTGGAATTGAATATCTTGATCTAGAGTAATCAACCTTAGATTATTCAATCAGTTTCGTTTCGGTGCAGCGAAATGCAATCCAAGATTGTTCATACTGTTTTTGAGCTTTAAGCTTCTTGATACTGGAAATGGCATTATTCAAAGCTAGGGAATTCTTATATAAAGGCTTTTCAACTTTTGCTACAAATACTAAAATTTGCGTAGTTGGGAGTGGACCTGCTGGTTTTTACACTGCTGAGAAGGCGAGTTCCTTTTTCTTTTTTTTTTACTATGTTGTGGATTATATTAATATATTGGCATTGATTTGAATAGCATGAGTTTATTATGCGTTTAATTTACTTCGAATTATGGAGAGTAATCGAGAAAATGGGCGCATCTGGAAAATTGATCAAATTGATTGTTTATTTCGGAATTGCATCAATAGTTGTTGAAGGCGCTTCCCAATGCCCAAGTTGATATCATTGATCGTTTGCCAACTCCTTTTGGTTTAGTGCGCTCTGGTGTGGCACCTGATCACCCTGAAACAAAGGTGAGAAGCTTGCTTACTATTTCTTCTCTCTGCTATCTAGATTTTGAAAATGTAGTATAAATTGTATTTGCTAGTGAAGATAGTGTTGAGTTGATTTAGAAGATATTGGGAAATCACTTAAGCTATGAGATCCCACATTGGTTGGAAAGGGGAATGAAGCATTTTTTATAAGGGTGTGGAGACCTCTCCCTAGCAGACGCGTTTTAAAGACCTTGAGGACAAGCCTAGAAGGGAAAGTCCAAAGATGACAATATTTGCTAGTAGTGGGCTTGGACGGTGAGAAATGGTATCAGAGCCAGACACCGGGCGGTGTGCCAACGAGAATGCTGAGTCGGGGGTGGACACTTGGTGGTTTGCCAGCGAAGACGTTGAGTCCCGAAGGGGGTGGACACGGGACGGTGTGCCAGCGAGGACGCTGGCCCCAAAGAGGGGTGGATTGTGCGATCCCACATCAGTTGGAGAGGGAAACAAAACATTTTTATAAATGTGGGAAAACTTCTCCCTAGAAGACGCATTTCAAAAACCTTGAGGGCAAGCCCAAAAGGGAAAGACCAAAGAGGACAATATCTACTGGCGGTGGACTTGGGCTGATACATAAGCTTTCAAAATTCCTTCTATATGTTTTTCTTGTTCTGTTTTGTTTATGCAGGATCTAACTTCAGTTGAAATAGGTAGGTACTTATCTCATGATATTTGAGCTTGCATGTTTGGCAGTTGGTGCTAGCTGCGGTCGTATGTTCACCTAATTATGAACATTTGTAATAGAAAGTTTTAGGAAATTTGCAAAGCGTAAACCAATCACAATGGCCCCACTAACATTCCTTTTACTTGTTTTGAAAAAGATTTTGAAGTAATGGATTATTTGGACTTTGAAAATATTTCTCCTACTTGCAACAGATTGTGGTCAATCAATTTACGCGGGTTGCACAGCATCAAAGGTGTTCATTCTTTGGTAATATCAAGCTTGGATCTTCCATTTCATTGTTGGATCTTCGCGACCTGTATCATGCGGTTAGTTAGGCTTTAGACACGACATTGTCATGCTACCAGCAGCATATTCCTTATTTTCTCAATGGTTATTTTTACTTCATTAGGTTGTCCTAGCATATGGAGCAGAAAGTGATAGAACTCTCAAGATTCCTGGAGAAGTAAGTTTAGTTAAAACTGTACTAGAATTTGTACTTCTAGTTTACTGCCTCAGGGTGGATTGCTTCGGCATTGTTCATACTGCCTAGCTTTAAACAATTTCAATCGTAGTGAATGCTTTTTTTTACTCTCTTTTCTGAATCATTGACAGTACTGCAACTATTCACAATTCTTTTAGTTCAATACATTGACTTTGGATGTCATATCTATCTATAGGATTTGTCTGGCATACACTCAGCCAGAGAATTTGTTTGGTGGTACAATGGGCACCCAGATTGCAGAAACCTAAATCCTGATGTAAAGGCCACTGATACAGCTGTAATCCTTGGCCAGGTAACTAATTCAGGCCATTCTGTTCTAAATTCATATGAATAAAAGGTTTTGTCAAGAAATTTCTGGCATTTACCATGATGTGGGAAGAAACAAGAAGCTTTCAAGATAGGTCAAACAACGATTGAAATTTCTATTACATCCAGGGAAATGTAGCTCTAGATGTTGCACGCATCCTTTTACGGCCAACGCCAGAATTGGCAACCACAGATATTGCTAATCATGCATTGGAGGCTTTGCAGGAGAGTGCTATAAGGTTCGTTTTTTTGAGTTCATCATAGCATTAAGAGTAAAGCTATTGTATTCATATTTTAATTATTGCTCGTGTAGGAAAGTGTTTTTGGTTGGAAGACGTGGACCAGTTCAAGCAGCTTGTACAGCTAAAGAGCTACGTGAAGTCCTTGGTATTCCTCAATCCTCAACCTCCTTAAAATTGACTTCAATGTTCTAGAAATGTTCTTGTACCTTGTCATTGAGATGAGAATGAGTTCTAAGTAGAAAATTACTTTTATTTATCAAGTTTAACCTGTCTTTGAGTTACTCGTATCTCTATAATGTTGTGGTGACTACTCTCTACTTTCTTCATAGGTTTGTGCATGTAATATTATTATATTGTAAAAAGAACAGTGATATAGATGAGAGGACTACGGAGTAATCGGCTTAATCTGTGTACTTTTTGCTTGATTATGCTACAAAAGAGCTCTCGTACCTTTTGATTCTTGCATTTTGTGTTCAAACCATAGCCGATGATGTGACTAGTTGTTGAATTTTATCACTGCAGGTATTAAAAACTTGCACATTCACATACATGAAGCTGATCTTGTCAAGAGCCCAACAGATGAGGTATAGTTCAACTGAAGTTATCTCTACATTACCTAATGCGAAGCTCTGGTGACTGTTTAAAAAGAAATATAGTCTTTTAGTTCTTTATCTCTTAAGGTAATGACGCAGTTGGCTAGTGCATAGGTCTCATTGCTTAATAGTGATCCTGAAATTTGAGATTTTCCCCAATCGCACTTTCAAATAGACATTCTGTTGTCTTATGAACATCATCCTTGTGTTAATACTATCATTTGAAAAGGAAGAGGTGAAAAACAGTCGAATACAGAGGAGAGTTTATGAGTTGCTTGCTAAGGCTGCCGCTTCTGGACCTCCCCATTCTGACGCAGGTCGACGTGAGCTGCATTTTGTTTTCTTCCGCAAACCAGAAAAGTTTCTGAGTTCAGTAGACAAAAAAGGCCATGTTGCTGGTGTTCGATTTGAGAAGACAGTTCTTGAAGGTAAACTATCTATGTCCTATTTCTTTTGTCTCCTAAACAGATGCATTCCACGTATGTAAGTGTGAGATCCCACATCAATTGGAGAGGAGAACGAAGCATTTCTTATAAGGGTGTGAAAACCTCTCCCAATCAGACACGTTTTAAAACCGTGAGGAAAAGCCCGGAAGGGAAAGCCCAAAGAAGACAATATCTACTAGTGGTGGGCTTGGGTTGTTATAAATAGTATCAGAGACTGGCAGGTGTGCCGGCGAGGATGCTGGGCCCCAAGGAGGGTGGATTGTGAGATTCCACATCGGTTGGAGAGGAGAACGAAACATTTCTTATAAGGGTGTGGAAACCTCTCCTTAGCAGACGTGTTTTAAAACCTTGAGGGGAAGCCCAGAAGGGAAAGCCCAAAGAGGACAATATCTCCTAGCCGTGGGCTTTGGTTGTTATAAATTGTATCAGAGCCAAGCACTGAGCGGTGTGCCAGCGTAGACGTTGAGCCCCCAATGAGGGTCGATTGTGAGATTCCACGTCGGTTGGAGAGGAAACCTCTCCTTAGCAGACGTGTTTTAAAACCTTGAGGGGAAGCCCAGAAGGGAAAGCCCAAAGAGAACAATATCTCCTAGCAGTGGGCTTTGGTTGTTATAAATTGTATCAGAGCCAAGCACTGAGCGGTGTGCCAGCGTGGACGTTGAGCCCCCAATGGGGGTCGATTGTGAGATTCCACGTCGGTTGGAGAGGAGTGTGGAAACCTCTTCCTGGCAGACGCGCTTTAAAACCTCGAGGAGAAGTCCAGAAGGAAAAGCCCAAAGAAGACAATATCTGCTAGCGGTAGGCTGGCTGAATTGGAGAACTCATTTCTGAAGATTTGTACTAATGTCATCAAAGTCTGTGTTATGAAATAGAAATCCAATTTATTTTCGCTCATTATCCTTCATTTTCTCTCATTACTGAAAATTACTTACATTCCTCCACAATGACATGCATCCTACCCTCTCCTAGTATGTCCTCGTGCGACTAGTTACTTATTCGCTTTTATTCTGTAGGTTCTATCCCGGGAAAGCAGATAGCTAGAGGTACTGGGGAGTTTGAAGACCTTGAATGCCAGTAATTCCTTCTTAAGTTAAAATTTTCCTTTTCATTTCTTTTTGGCAACAAATTTTACATCAGAAAATATATTTTGGTTTTCATTTCACTAGGTGATATAACTGTTCATCAGAATATTTCTATGAGATGATGAATATTAATTTATATTTTGTTGTTGTAATAGAATAAGCTCATCTAGTTTGAATTGCTTGAATTTTGTATAGGATGGTGCTAAAGAGCATAGGTTACAAATCAGTGCCCATAGATGGATTACCCTTTGATCATCTGAAAGGTATGAGATTAAGACATCCTCGAGATCTTTCTCTTACCTTATTTATTTCTTAGTTTCTTTTCTTACTTAGAGATCTTACATGTCAATGTCATATTCGATTCATTTTTACGATGTACTCGAGAATAATCATACGAAACCTTGGATTAAACGTATCCAACAAACTCTTCTCATGTGAGATCCCACATCGGTTGGGGAGGAGAACAAAACACCCTTTATAAGGGCGTGGAAACCTCTCCTAGCAAACGCGTTTTAAAGTCTTGGAAGCCTAAAAGGGAAAGTCCAAAGAAGATAATATCTGCTAGTGGTGGGCTTGAGCCGTTACATCTCATGTCTCTTTTCATTGATGCACTCAAGCTGCCATGGAAAAACTTCTTCTCTGGTGTTTTCCTTGGCTGATAGTTCCATTTCCAGGAACTGTACCGAACGTTAGAGGTCGAGTTGTAAGCAATATGTCTGGAGATTCCATCCAACTTGAGGAAGGATTATATGTATGTGGGTGGTTGAAAAGAGGACCAACTGGAATTATTGCAACAAATCTCTATTGTGCTGAAGAAACCGTGAGTATTTGAATCCTCCTTGAGTAAGCTTATATACACATTATTTATATGTTTCAAATTTTAACCATAGTCATTTGATTCCTCAGGTTGCAAGCATTTGTGAAGACCTCGATAAGAGAGCATCGTCATCTTCCTTTTCTAGCTCACCGAAGCCCGGGAGAGAAGGTCTCATACGAGCATTAGACAATCAAAATGTAAGAGTTGTACCGTTTAGCGCATGGGAAAAAATAGACTCCGCTGAAACGAGGCTTGGGAGTCTGAAGAACAAACCCAGGGAAAAGCTTACCACTTGGGAGGAGCTACTGAAGGTGGCCATGGAATGAGTATCTTCATGAAGCTTGAGTGCCGCCTTCATACCTAGCTATTCCGCTTCTTCGTTTCACTTCTACTCTCGGAACAACCTATTTTATCGCTCTCACTCTCGAGCACAAAGCTATTTCGTTTCATATCCTAACATTGAACACTCGAATGAGTAGTTTACTTTGCCCGAAATGTCGGTTTCTTTTGCTAGCATGCTGATGGAATCGACTTCCATTGAAGAGGTCAACAATAAAAGAGGCTATACATTATTTTTGGGGAGCTAGAAAAGATGGAAGTAAATCATTCTTCAGCACACTTAAACTGAGCTCAAAATCCATTTGGTTTCACTGCAAAGTGTAAATCAACTTACCCTTCCTCTTCATCCACTTATTTATTCATTTTAGAGAAGATTTTAGCTCGTCCACGTGTCGTCTTTTGATAGGTATATGCATGAAATTATCTCGAACTTGGCCTATGGAGGTCATCCGTTATCTGACATAATTTCTTCGAAGAATTACATGTTACTGTTTCTGTTTGTTTGTTTGTTTTTTAGAATCAAATTATTTTAATTTTGGAAGGTATGAAAATTGAAATTTGCTTAAAATACATTACTCTTTTAATTAAAATATGAAAATTGGAAAATAAAGTACAATTGCATCATAGAAGAAAGATATTTGTATTTCTTGAAAGAGACTCGAGAAATAGTCATTTCTTATCAACATAAAGATTAAAATAAACATTTATAATAACAAAATTGTACGAATTTTATAGCGTGAAAATTGTTAGCTGTCTTGAGACTAAGCTGAGGAGCCTGGACGACAACTTAATACGAAAGAAAAGTCTTGAAGCCGACCAATGTCGAGTTAGATGGTCGAAACCTAACTGAACCGAACGCATGGCTTGATACCTATATTGGATAGCTAAAATATATATAAGTAAAAAATCCAACTCTCATTAGTGGTGTACCATTTTTACTATGAAATTAAACTGACTTAAGCTTGCTTTATAGGGAATTAGAAACTTAATGGGTCGGGTCGGGTCGGAAACCCGACTCACCCTCTCGATACAATTACGTATAAAATGAGATTGATTCTCTTTCTTTCTCATCGGGATTTCACGCAGCCATTTCAACCGACCGCCAGTTTCCACCGAGAGGAAGAGCGAGCTTTTCAGCCATGGCTTCCACTTCCAGGGATCCGCCTCCGCCGTACCCCAGTGCTGCTAGAATTTCTGATTCTCCTTGTTTTCTCCAGTACAGTGCTTCCCTGAAATGTAGGTTCTCTCTTATATTCCCCGTCCGCCTGTTCTCATTTTTTGTTATTGTATGATTCGCCATTTGGACTTCTTCTACTGGTGCGCTTGCCAATGATTGCGTGCTTTGCATCAATTTTTTCAGTTTTTTTTCTGGATGGTTAAGCTTGCGAATTTGTTGGCGATGATCGTGCAAACTCTAATTTTCTTGGCGATTCTCTATGCTCTATTAGTTGATTAATTGGTTAGCCTGATTTAGTTCCATTTCTAGGGATACTATTTCCATCCACTTTAGGTCAATTAATTAAGAGTTAGCAAACTCAATGCATTAGTGATCGGATGACAATCTTAAAGAAGAAAAAAAAAAAAAAAAGGGTTTACCAGGGTATTAGTTTATAGAACGCTCGTGAGAGTTCTTAGAGTGGCTGTGTTTTGAGTTCACTTACTTTTCTAACTATGACAACAGTGGAAAGGAAACTTTTACTAGGATTGTGACGCCGAAAGATCTGATTTCCCCGTTCCTTTGGGCGAAGTTCGTATTTAAAATGTCAAAGTAGGAATTACTTAGTTGGATGGTTCTTCTGCTCCAAAAATTATTTAGTTTCCATTCAACATCAACAGTCCAATGCAATTTCATTGTTTGGCTCTTATTTATAAGATAGCTTTTACTCTTTGGAGATACCTCTGTATTTGTTTTGATTTAGGATTAAGGATAATACCACATATGAAACAGAATAATTTTTTAAGAGATGTTTAATGCTGAAGCCTCGAGCTGCAACGTAAGCAAAGGATAAATCTTTTAAGCCTCAAGGCTTATGCATTCCTTTCCAAAGCTTCAAGACTGTATTTACAGATTGTTTCCAGAAAATATGTATAATTGGTACTGGCTTATAAATCGTGCGTAAAGTGAAATTTAAATTTGAATTCATAAGTGAGTATTATCGTTGTTGATCCTGATAACGTGATACTTAATCCTTGGTGTATATAAATCATCCAATGAGAAGTTGGTGTTTAGATTACTAATTTTGTAGATTTGGAATTGTATTGTACTTCCTTCAATTTAGAATTTATGTCAGATAACATTTTGAGCTTCTTATGAGAGAGTCTCCTTTTCCAAATGCTATAGGTCTTGAAGAACATAGCTCAGAGAGGAGCAAATGTCAAGAACATTTTGATGTTTACAAGGAATGCAAGAAAAAAGAGGTATTTTCTTTTCTTAGTTATCACATGAAATTGGAGTGGAGGAACGTTTTGTGATGTTGGTACAGTTGCTGAAAGCATATGCTCAATATTTATGGTAATTTGCGTCTTGGGGTCTGCTCATTTACTTGTGACATTAATGGATAAAGGAAATTTAAATATCCTTATTTCATTTGGACACCATTAGCTGACCTACACAACATGTTTCTCATTGAGTTAATCATGGGCTCAATATGATTTTGGTCCTTACAGTTTGAAAAGTTATATTTTGATCTTTCAAGTTTTAGTAATTTATGTAATATATTCTATCCTAGTTAAAATTTGTAATGAGAAAGTGACTCCACTCATTTTCTGATGTCTGAGTCTGAATGCTCAAAACTTTCTCGCAAGATTTATTAAAATTTAACTTTTCTTCAATTTGATATTTTCTTGATTAGATGTAAGTGATGTAAAATAGAGCATTGTAAACTTCGGGATGAATCTGAGAGATAAGATTACTTTCTGATCTGAAATATATTCATGTCATAGTGTAATTCCGGGAGGAACATTGTTGAAAGTGCTTCCATATCATTTATGGATCCAATCCTGGTTTTTCTTTTTTTCTTTTTCTTTTTGGAGAAAAGAAGCTTATGTGGGTTTAGTAAATATAGTAATGTTTCATAGACTATCATTTACTTGCTTGGTTGGTATTTTTTATTTTTGTAAGACATAGCTTCTGTTTTTGAAGTTTCTAAATCGAACGAGTTCTTCTGTCTTCTTCTTTGCAGCGGGAAGCTCGATTGGAACGCAACAAGAAAAGGTCTTTCTTCTCATGAAGAAATCATCTTCAGGCATATTTCTTGATGTTGAAGTATTTAAGTTTAATATGTTGTGCCGTCTACACACGTTTATAACCTTTTTGTAGCAGTTAGATTTATCTAGTGCCTCGTTGAGCCAATGCCTTAGACTATATTGCCCATTTGCCATTGGGCGTTTATTAATAAAAGATACATCTTCATATTCAATCATCTTGTTCATTGTAGAAATGTAGGAATCTGTAAACATTGACAATTCTCATTTTGATCTAAATGCCCTATTGCTAGAGCCTTAAGCTCTTGATAAGTAAGACAGCCTTTTTAAGGTGTTTGTAATTTTTATTATAATTGAGGAGTATTCCCACCCTTTTTTAAGAGGGCATTTTTAATTAAGAAACACAAGGTCTAATTCAGTGAATTATGATACATTTTTTATATCATTTTCATTTGAGTTTTATTTGGTAGGCTATTGATGAAATATAAGGTTTATTTTGTAACTTAGTAACATATTTCTCTGTGTGAACCATACTTACATTTGGTGAAAAATTCGATTTCCGAAGATTTTTAATTCAAAAGATGCATGCCTTAACAATCTGATCACTTGTAAAGCTAGCTATTTGAATTCAAAAATAATCCAAACGCAAATTCAAAGCCAAAATACAAATCACTCCACAAGGGAAGTCCCCAGGTCGAGTCTTTGCAAGTTTATAACAAAAAAAGCAAACCCCTTATTTCTGGGTCTTGGTCTTGGTCAGGAAGATGCAGATAAAACGCTAATAGAAATGTCATATTTAAAAGCAAATAAAAAAAATGTTGCTGTTGGGCAAAAAAGAGAGTAGACGTGTCTAAAAACTGGAGGATAATTAGAAATAATGTGGCCAAAAAGGCAGAGATAGTTTTTAAGCTCTGGGGTCGCGACATGAAATAGAAGTCAAATGGGTACTCAAATTTCATCCAACAATCTTCTTCCAAGAACTCTACACTAAACAGACAAGTAATGACTCGAGACAGAACAAAATCATAGTTTAACTCTCAGTCTGCTCCCTCAACCTTCGGATCGTGCTCCTAACGGTCACCGCACTTGCAGTGCTGCCCAAAACAAAACAAAGAAACAGAATCAATCAAAACCTTGATCAGAATTTGAAAGCACAAACACACCATATTGCAAAACAAGAACCAATTGCACTCACTTCAATGTGTAGGCACCTCCGGCTTTCACCTTTCCACAGTCCTTGCAACCCCATATCCCAACAGCCTTCCTCTTCACGGCATACTGTAAGGGTTCAAAACAGCAATCATTGATTGTAATTGTGAAATAAATTACTATGAACACAGATTCTCATCAGAATTTCCATAAAACAATGAGATTTATATGGTCGATTTTGTAACGTACAATAGAAATGTCAAGGTTTGTCAAAACTTTCAAGAATTATGGGCAAAAATATCAACAATATGTATAAAAGTACAAATAGCGTAGTAAGCTTCCATCTCGTGGGGAAAAATTATGACCCAATAATTCTGCATTCTTTTCACAGCATACACCTAAGTGTTTCGAACATTGTTTAGATTCACGGAATAAAATCCGTATGAACATGTAGATGTTTTCATCTCATAACATTGGTAAGTTCAATGGAAATGTCTATAATCTATCAAAAGCTCTAAGAACTATATGCAAGAACAAGTGGGCTGTCGATCCAATTATTTTACATTTTTTAGGAATATTCATTGATGGATATCCAAATTGCCATGTTACTGAAACCTAGACATTTTCCACCCAGACCAGATAATTCCTTTATCAGTATATGTAAACTCTCGCATCATCATGGAAACTTACCTTTCCGCAGAACTCGCAGAAGTATTTGCTGTGCTGACTGACTTCCATCTTCTTAATCTGCTTCCTCAGACTAGCACCATATCTGGTACCTGTAACAAAAGATGCAGAATAAGCCGATTAACATAACTACACAGCATAAAGTACGCAAAAGAATATACTGTAAGCCTTTAAAAACATCAAGGAGAAAGCACGTTGAAAGATAGAGGAAGAGAAGGCTCTTGAAAAGCTACCAATTACTTCAAAAAACAAATTATAGACGATTAATCAAACCATATGTGAATGTCAATGATGGCGTCTCTACTCTATAAATCATCAGACAAGGATCTAAATTCCACATTCATACGCAGGTCTAATATCGTAAGTACGAATTCTATTTCACCGTAAATAAAAACATGAGGCGCTAGAACATACCGTATTTGCCGACAATTCCAGCCTTCTTGGTTCTTTTCGTCTGCGATTGTACAGGAAATAGAAATGAACACAAGTTAGAGAAATGTAATAATCGCTTCAGAACACGTAAGGTGGTAAATTAAAGTTCAGGCACAAAGCCTCGCTAAATATGTTTTCCCAGATTCTCATCAATTCTCTCTGCGAAAGGTGCTGAAGCTAGAACAGTAGTGAAAATAACGAAAATTCGTGAAAAATAGAGAACTGTAAATCCTTAACAACTCCTCAACATTAAACAATGCTTAAACTACGAGAGATCCATGAAATCAAATCGATAATCTGCTACCATAAAGAGACCTAATAGTTCATTTTCCTTTCCAATATTTCATCAGCCAGAAGAATGAACCTCGAGTTTTCGCTTCTTGTTCACTAATCTCTCCTCGCAAATTAAATCCTACAGACTACAGACATCTCATCTCGCCTACATAACTTCAGAACACTAGAAAAATAAAGTAGTCAAGAAGAACATGAAACCAGCAAGAGAAAAGGAGTACCATTGTTGAGGCTTGGATGCAACGGGGACACCTCAAGAGATACGCTGGTGCAGACTGGACGGCCAAACAGAAAAACCCTATGATAGCTCCGGCTGTTTATATAGCCCCTGCCAAATTACGATTGTCCGTCTCCGGCCCAACTTTGTTAAGAATTGGGCTTTGAGCCCTTTCTTTGGGTTTGGGTTTTTTGGGCTTAGCTGAAGTCCTGGCCCATCTAAATAAAGTATTAGTTTATATATTTTGAGTTTGTAATTATATTTTTAAATATTTAAACTTAATCTCCGTGATTTTAATAAAATTTAAAAGTTCAAAGTCTTAGTTGGTGGTTGTTTTTTTTATATTAAAATATTGGGTTACGTTGACTTTTCTAAAAACCGAAAATTAGTGTAGTTGACATTTTTTTTATTGGATCGGTCAGGTCAACAAAAAATATAGTTATAATTCAATTTTATTTTAAGATTATTATTAGTATTAAAAATATTTGATGTTATAAAGAATATTTGGTATTTTAGATTTATAAATAAAAAATATTCAATATAATTCTTATTTTATGTCCAATAACTCAATTATTCACTAAATATGAACATAATTCGAAGGGTTGGAAAATAAGATATTTAAATTTTTAAAAGAGAAAAAAAAAAAAAAAACTTGTTACTCCAACTAACAAAATCCCGCTAGTTTTGGATAGTTACTTCCCGCTACGTTTGATTCGTAAGTTTTATTTCAATTAAATCCCTGTTTGATCTTCCATGGAGACAATTTGATAATTAGATTCAGTCCTCAATGTGGGCTTTATCGGTTCTTTATGCAATTTATTGGATCGGAAGAAGCTGTTCGGTAATGGCTATAATTCTCAGCATTTTCACTTTTTGTACTTGTATGTTGCTGTTTAGGCTTTGATTTCGCTACCTAATTTGGTCGTAATCGTGATATTAACTCCATTATCTCTCAAAATGTTGCTGCGTTAGAGCTCGTACAGTGTATTTCGAGGAGCGCTTTTTCTTTCAGTCGAGACCTCTACGATTGCAGTTTTGGGAAAATCATTCGTCTGTAATGATCTGAGAGAGAGCTACAAAGCTATGATTATCAGAAACTAGAAAGAAAAAATGACTCAAGATATTTTGGGTTTGGTTCTGTAGATTATACAGAAGAATCTTCCGAACATGGCAGACAAATCGGACAAGGATGTCTCCGATTGGTAAAACTTTTTTTCTTCATCCATTTAGTTAACAGTTTCGTTTTCCCTGTCTTGATTGTTTGGAAACGGTCGCTCATCTTCATTCTGGTTTGCAGGTTACCTTAGGTCAGTGTGAGAATGTGGGATTCTGGATTCAGTTACATATTTGTTTTGTTCAAATTCCTGTGATTTTTCGGTTATGTTTGTTGGATGAAAGCCTCACATCAGCTAATTTAAGGAATGATCATGGGTTTATAATCAAGGAATACTATCTCCATTGGAATGAGGCCTTTTGGGGAAGCCCAAAGTAAAGCCATGAGAGCTTAGGCTCAAAGTGGACAATATCGTACCATTGTGGAGAGTCGTGTTCATCTAACAAATCTTTATTATTTTTCTACCGGATATCATAGTAGAAAAGTCAGGCAAGATAGCGGAGTTACTGAATGAGCAATCTGAGGGCAGTATAGGTCAATTCCTCAGAAGCATGAACTCGTTGCAAGGTTCTGCCATGGGTTTCAACTGCAAATGTCATGTGAGAATGTGTTTCCTTTAGCTTGTCTTGCTTTCTATCCAGGGATGACTGAAAGTCACAACCCAAATAACCTGTTGAGTAAAGCACTTACTTTCCTTGAACAGAAAATCCTCCCTAGCTGGATTGAAGCCATTAAGGCTTTTCTTAAAACAGAAGATATTGTGCAACAGACTGTGGAAATAGGCCTTGTTGATGAATGTATGAGTCTTTGGTCAGTAAGGAAGTGAATGATCCGTACCTCCTTAGCGAACCGATTGTGAATTTTGTAAATGATGAACTCAGTGAGGATGATGTGTTTCATCACAAGCCCAGTGCAAGAAGAAAACTCTCTGTTTCTGAATGGCAGTTGGAGGATTTGACAATTCAGCCTCCTGTATTGTATGAACTGACTGTTCATTCTATGTAGCTGTGTCCCTTTTGAAGTATGCAAAGAAGTGAGTTTTTTCTAGTGCTGAAGGTGATGAAACGTTTCAGTGTGTGAAACAAACCGTCAAAGGGAAGTCATAGAAGCAGTGGAGAGGATAATGCCTCATCAGAAGGGGCTATTCCTTGAAATGCATTATGATATCGAGTGTGTGAAACGGATTGTAAAGCACTTCTATAGAGTTTGTAGTTCAATATTGGAAGGATTAATTGTGATGGCAAAACTGATTGAGGAATTCTTGTTTGAGGTTGCCAGTGACAGAGAATTGGAGATCGGTGCATTTGTTTCATTAGTTGAAATGTCAAGTGCAGCATCAATGGGAACCGATAGGAGCTCCTTTGGAATATACAGCGCTATAGATATATATCTGGACAAGCATAGCTACCTGACAGAATCTGAGAGAGAAGAAGTGTGCAGAGGGCTGGACTACCATAGGATGTCAGCTGAAGTTTGTGAACACGCAGCCAAGAACCAGAAAATTCCATTAAGAATCGTGGTCCAAGTGCTAGTTTTGGTGCAATTACAACTTCGCTATGCAATCACAAAGGAAATGCAGGGTTCTGACAACAAATTGATACAGGATGAGGTTGAAAGTGATGGAGGAGTGTTGGCCTTAGGTGGAGGTTAATTAAAAAATGAAATGGAGAAAATGAACAATAAGGTGATGGAGTTGGAGAAAGAGTCTCATATGCTGAGGAAATGGATTGAGGAAGGCTGCAACCACATGGTGAAAAAAGAGAAGACAAGCACGTGGAGAGAAATGAAGAGGAAGTTTGGTTGCATAAGTAAGATGCCCAACTGCAAGTGCCAAGTTAAAAAGGGTGAGATCCCACGTCGGTTGGAGGGGGGAACGAAACATTTTTTATAAGGGTGTGGAAACCTCTCCCTAGCAGATGTGTTTTAAAGCCTTGAGGAGAAACCCAAAAGGAAAAACCGAAAGAGAACAATATCTGCTAGTGGTAGGCTTGGGCTGTTACAAATGGTATAAGAGCCAAACACCAGGCAGTGTGCCAGTGAAGACACTGGAACTCCAAGAGGGTGGATTGTGAGATCTCACATCAGTTGGAGATGGGAACAAAACCTTTCTTATTAAGGGTGTGGAAACCTCTCTCTAACAGACGTATTTTAAAGCATTGAGGGAAAGCTTAGAAGGTAAAGCTCAAAGATGACAATATCTGCTAGCGGTGGGTTTGGGTTGTTACAAAAAGAAAAGGGTTCATCCGAAACTATGGGCTTGACTAACAGACAACTGATCATCTATAAACTCCTCTGTAGTGATTTGATTTCATGCTTCTGAATAGTCATTCAACTGGTCTAACTTAGTGAATAAACCTCCAAGTTTGTGGGCATCAAGCCAAAATTTTCCCCAAGGTAACTGCTCCATTACTACCTTGTTTTTCCAACGTCATGTAACATTGAGTTTACAACATGCAGAGTATAGATTTTTTGATGAAGTAAGAATGATGCTTCACAGAGCACTTCATTGAGATACCCGTGATAATAAGTAAGTGCCTCTATCTTATTGGTTATTTTCTTAAGTAATCATCTCTCACTTCAATGAGAAAAGAGGAACTACAATGATAAAAGGAAAAGGCTTAGACATGGAGTTCTTACATTTTACCTCCATTAGTATTTCAAAAATCAATAAATATTCAAGCATGGACCAGAATTCAGGTGAAAGTTATGGAAGGATACTAGTGGTCCATTTTCCGCAAAATTCCCAAAATCTTTTTCGAAGTTGAGAAGTAGCTTTCAGAACTCCAGTATAGCGAATCAAGGTATGACCTCTCTCTCTCTCTCTCTTACTGGGTTCAAAGCCAAATCTGAAATTGATCAACATTTTCATTCTCCAAACATGAAGGTGATGGGAAACTATACTTTTTGTCAAAGTCGCACCTAACTTGAAGCCATTTTTCTTCCTAATTATGATGAAATGGTATGATCAAGAGCGAACACATCTGATAAAGCATCAATCTGTCTCAGAAATGGAGGTTGAGATGCAGGCAGTGTAGTTGTCAGTATTCCTAATTCTTCTTTACTTTTACTAATTTATGCACTTTTTTTCCGTATTTTATGGATATTGTCCTTGAACTTTGTCTGATTTAGATTAATTTTGTTTATAGTCAGTATCTGACATCAGTACAATCGTTGGTGCAAGTTTTGATTTAAGAGCTCAAAACTTCACATGGAAGCGTAGTATGGAGTAGAAAATTTAAAATTTCAAACATGGAGTTTAGCAAAAGTTTCCCTCCTTACATTATGCAAAGTGAATTAGGTAGCCCTGCATAAATTCTGACAACTCTGCAGAACGCAACAAGGTGAAAGAGCATAATTGACGGTAGAAAAGTGCTAATCATTGAGACAATTCTTAGGCTTCAAATGCACACTGCCTTGAGTTTAAATCTTTATGAAATTCAATAGTTCATGATCAGTTACCCTCAGTAAAATCCCAAAAAATAAAACACTTCACTAAAGCTTCGACGAAAGTGATGCATGAGCAACATTTTTGAAGAGGCTTGTAAACTGTAAAATGTTCATTCAAAGTAAGTCCATCTAGTTTGCTAATCTTGTATGAATCTGGGTTTCTTCTGTGATTTCAACAAAATATTACAAAAATAAGAGAATTTTTGTCAAGTTTTGTACAGTTCGCATATCTACTTTCAACTGGGAATGATGCAACTCTTTCCTTTCCCATAGTTTGTAAATCCTTGTTTCCCAGTTGAAATAGATCTATTCATTCCCAAGTCATGGCAATGCTCTTGAGTAAATAATTTTGAAGATCCAATCCCCATTTGTAATTCATCTTCCTCTACCTCATCCTCACTATCTTGACTGGCTCTCAATATATCAGCAACAGAAACCTGCCCTTGCCATGATAAAGAATTCAAGGAAACTGACCTTCTATACGGCTGAACTTGATTCATTCTGTCTCTTGGCTCTGAATCTTGACAATCTGATGCAAAACTTTGCCTTCGATTCTTGGAAGAAGCATCATCATTCTCAAGCCCAGAAACAGCAGTTTCTTGCCTCACTGTTAAATCCTGCAAATCTTGAACCACTACAACAACCACTGTGTCATTGGTTCTGTGTTGATACTGAAGAGCAGATGCATTTAGGTGTTCTGTTCTTAGAATTTCTTGTGTTGGGGGTGGGGAAACATTGGTTGGTGAAATGTTGGAGCGGCAGAGAGGGCAAGTTGAGTGAGATTTGAGCCATGTGTCAATGCAAGGAAGATGAAAGGCATGGCTGCACTTTGGCAGCAACCTTAAGCTCTCATTTTCTTGAAACTCACTCAGGCAAACTGAGCAATCAGTACCTTCAACTAAGTCATCTCCTCTTTTATACTTGCAGACTGTGATGGACTTGATGAGAGCATGATCCAGGCCTGCAGGAGGAGGAGCTTGGAGCTGGTTTTCATGGCGGATGTGGGTAAGATTTTCTTCATCATCCATTTCCATGGCAGCGTTGGTGGTAGCAGCTCTGTTCCTGCAATATTTGGAGATGATGGTGTAGTAGCTTACCATAATGAAGGCGCTAGCCAAGATTCCAATGATGGCGATGATGAGAGGAGAGAAATCAGTGGCGGAATCGCCATTGCTGCCATAGCCAAAAGGTGGAGGTGGTGGAAAGATGATGTAGCACCACTGAGGACAGTAAATGCTGCAAATCTCTAAAGAACAGTCGTTGTAAGCATATGGCTGCCATTGATTTGAGTTCCCCACAGAACCCATTTTCCTCTGCCACTAGCCGATCTTGCAGGTACCCCTATCTTCTCTTTTTCATGTGTTTATGTCTAGGATAGAGAGAGAAAAAGAAGAGAGAGAAAGTGTAACAACTCAAGACCACTATAGTAGATATTTTCCTTTTTCGAGCTTCTCTTAATGTTTTTAAAATGCGTCTACTAGAGAGAAGTGCCCCCACCTTTATAAAGAATGTTTTGTTCTTCTCTTCAACCGATGTAGGATCTCGGGTGAAGAAGAAGAAAGCAAAATTGGGGGGACTTTGGATGCAAAGGGAAGGAAAGTGGGAGGAGGTAGGAAACTGTTATATCACTCATTAACACTTATCCTTTCCCTTTACTTTTGGCTTTTCAATTCTTCTCCTTCAGAAACATGTCTTGAACAAAGAAATTGTGTCAATATTAGTTTGTTGTCTAAATTCCTTGGGTTTGATAAACAAGCTAAATGAGCTCAAAGGAACAAAAAAAGAGCTCACTAAAATAAAGGCAAGAGATTCACATTTCAGATGTAAGTGTAAGTGGTCACGTGCAATCATGTGAGTACTTGACGTGGCCAGTGTTTATTGGCTTGGTGGTTGAACCAAAGGAGATTTCCAGAAATGTGCCTTTTGTAATAATAAGGGACTTAATTTTCTACCATGATCCTACTCTTTTTTTTTCTTTTTTCTTTTTTCTTTTTTCTTTTTTCATAAATTTGATTTACTTATTTATCGTTTATAAATCAATTTATCAAGGACAATTAGAATTATTCCTCTCTTTTTTCTTCCTATTTCAAGATTATCTTTATATGAATATTTTCAACCAAAATTGAATATTTGATATTACCCTACACAATCAGTTACAAATGTAATACGAGCATTCCAACACTAAAAGTTAATCAACGATTTGAGTCAAATTTTAAAATGCACACTTTCTAAATCTCCTCTATTTATAAGGGGGAACAACTTAGCTTATAGCAGATTTGTGACGGGTGCTTTTGCCTTATCATAATAAAGTCGAGAAGTATGACTCTTCAATTAGAATGTCCCAATCTCGTAATACGTGGAGCATGACATTTTTCTTTAGTTAGTCCAAGCTCCTAACCAAAAAATGCATATCTTTAATATTTATTTTATTTTTATCTTTTTTTCTTTAAGCCTCCAAAGTCACAAAATCCAACAATGGGACCAAGTTTACAGGCCATTTTTATGTGTGAAGAATGCTTTATGTCTCCACTCACTTAAGAAATGAACCAAAGAGGCCAATGACATAATTATATAATGATATTACACAAACAAAGACAGGCAATGTGGCTTTCCTTATCAAGAGACGTACCTCTTCCACAGTAAAAAAAAAAAAAAAGGGGCCATTTCATCATTTCATGTACCTATAAATAATGTTTGTACAGTAAATAACAGTCCTATTGTAACTGTTATTCTCATTCCTTCCAAGTACAATTACACCAAAATAAAACTGAGGCCTTCATCTACTAGAAGGTTCAATATGATTAAGAGGAAGAAACTAACAGGGAAGGGACTATATATGCATTTATGTCTATGAGAGGTTAAGAGGTACAAAATCAACCTTCAGGATTTATTTGATTTATTAGTTCAGACTATGATGAAACAATTTCAATTACATCTACTTTGCATAATGAATGAATGATGAATATCGACACAATATTTGAATGGCGAACGAGTCTTTTCTATGCTTTTCCTTTCCTTCTATCATCCATTGCCTGCTTCAAAAATATGTAGAATTTAGTAAAAGAACTCAAAGCATATAGATAATGATGCGTGTATGCACACGTGTGCATTTCTTTTTTCCTTTCCTTTTTGGTACTTATTATGAGCAAGAGGAATAATCAGACAACAATTTTCTAGCACCCCTCCAAAAAAAAAAAAAAATTATGCAGAGTGACAGAGCATAGTTCAACTAGTTAAAGAAATAATCAGACAACAATTTCCTAGCATGGCCCCCCAAAAAACAATTGTGCAGAGTGACAGAGCATAGTTTAACTAGTTAAAGCAGATACTCTCCACACGTGTTGAACTCAAGAAAAAAAAAAAAAGAGACAAAAAGGCATGAATTATCTAAGTAACTTTCAGAACAAAATAACATCCCCTTCACAAAACAACAAAAATTGCCTAAAACCCATGCATGCATAAAGGCATATTGTTTAGGAGAATGTTACAACAGAACAAAACCTTCATAAAAGCATGTTTTGACAACTTTTCTTTAAAGATTTTCTCCTGTTCCTTTAGTTTGTTGTTCTCAAAGATGATGTTTTTTAAAATCTCAAAAGTTATTCTTTATCCAAAATCGTGGGTTTAACACCTTTTTATAAGTTGGTTGGTCCTGATTCTCGAAAAATAATTTGAAAAAAAAAAAAAAACAGAAAACTCTTTGGAAAACAATCGCATGAAAGAACACTAAGCCTCCCAACATCTACGAGAGGAGGCTTTAGGCAGGATTATCACCCAAGCTCCATTGTTTGAGCCTTTGGCCTCCAGAGATAGTATTAAGTGTGAAATCTCTTGCAGGTTAATCGATTAGGGATCAATGGCACAGATTTGAAGAAAAAAAAATACTATCAAAGAAAAGAAAAGAGATGCATACTAGTCATAGTCCGCATCGATATACATTAAGAAATATATCAAATATGATAACTTCTTAACCGTCATTAATGGTGTCCACAAATTGATCCTTAACTAATAGATTTTGGGAAGAGAGAATACCTTGCTTTGGAACATTCTCATGGTCAACACAAGTGTATCCCGCATCCTACAAGAAAAATCAGCATCCTAGACTGAATAACTATTAAAGAAAATAGAAATAAGCTATTATTCTGAAACTAAAGACATGAGCGGGTATAATATGCTTCTTGTTGGTTATAGACAATGCTAAAGAAATAAAAAGGTCATATGATATTAAGCCTAAGGTCTATGGTTAGTCTGAGAACTTCACAAAATACAAATGAATCTGTAAGTAGAATGGGAACATTACCTAACATCATAAGCATTAAAAGGAAAAGATGATCCATCAGAACATGTCAAAACAAATTGTGTAGAAATCCCAGGAGGAATTTTCAACTGCATCCACAAATATATAATAGAAAAAAAAAGCAAATCTTTGGTTTATTCGAAAATGTAATTTAAACTTGTAGACACCATCATCAGTGAATAGACTACTAATAAAAACATACCGATAACTCCCTTGAATATTTCTCAGCAATTACAACCACTTCTGTATTTCCCATCTTAATTTGGTAACCAGACCTCCTCAAAGAAATAGATGCTGGCTCCCAATTTTCAGACAAATCAATCTGTATGAAATTCGTGGGAAAAGCAAGATGCAAATATTTAGTATATATGAGTCAGTGAAGGCCATATCCTTAATAGTACCATGTGTTTTATATTCTATTTGATAGTCAAGCTTTATTTCTTTCTACTTCCTTACCAGCCAAGAGGCTGACCCTATAACAAATAACATCATTGATGATTGATCTACAGGTTATGAATTTTCTTTTATTTATCTTTTCAGTGCGTGAGCGGAGCTTCCCTCTGTTGGCTAAGATTTTTTTTTTTTTTTTTCATCCAGATAAAAATGAAAACACAGTTTGTGAGTTATGACCTTTTACGGATCTCTCTATATTAAAATTGAAACCTGGTTGAATAGTAAGCTAGAAAATGTTTTCAAGACAACATGGGAGATAAATATAAAAGAAAATTACAGTTCAAATGAAAATAAATCCTATAAAGATAAAAAAAAAAATTCACTTTTTTGGATGTTCTAAAACTGAAGTGGCAGAGTGGGTAAGCAACTAAACTGAGGAGGCATAATAGGTAAACTACTCAAGAATGTATATATGTACCCATAATGCTTTCTTTTCAAGTATTGAATTCACCAAACATCATATTCCTAAAAAGCTTGCATTTTAATACGAAGTTAGCTGATGGCTAACATATTAGACCAAAATTTTAGATGCTAGGTGAGTACTTTTCAAAGATTTGCAGGAAAAATGGACACAATCAAATTAGATAATCGTCCAAAAACCAATAGATACCCATACAAACTTAACTAAAAAAAACACTTCTCAAGTCACAAAAATGGCCAAACCAACAAAAAGAAAAAAAGAAGGCACAAAATCAAGTAGGTAAAAGAACCATCTACATTCAACTTCAATATGTCCAAATCTACCAAAAAGCATACAAGGTAACTAGAAAAGGACTATGCAAAATAAACAAAAAAGAAAAACTAACTCATAAAACCACTAGAATGTCAACAACTAGTTACAAATCTTCTAGAAAATGGAAACCAGAAAATGGATGATATTAATTTCACACAGAGTTTTTAGTAAAGGGCTCAATCTGACAAAATGATAAATTTGAAGTTAGATTTGATTTACTCAGTATAGGACTAAGAAATAAGTACAACCACAAGGAATGAAATTTTCTAGAAGATTTACTTATATCAGATAAACCTACCAGTAAAAGAACAGTAAACGTGGCTTGACCCTTTGAAAGATACGTGTCAATCTCCAGTTGCATGTCCGGATCTATAACATAACTAATTAGAAAGCTCGGGATGCACAATAAAATAGCTGAAATATAACAACGTTAACCAACCAACGAATCAAAATAATTTATACAAGATAACGTGATAGTTTAAACATTTGTTGTTATCCAAAGGCAAGGCTTTTAAGAAAAATGTATATATTTATCTTAGAGTAATGATCTTTCGGCCCACGAAGAACTTGTTCCAACCTTCCATCACATTCTTCTCTCGGAGGTGCAGATAAACACACTGTTGTAAAATTCAATTCAGACTCGAGGCAACCACATAGCAAACATCTCATTAAGCATGATTTTGCTAAAATACGCAGGCACTATAGTCCAGGGAAGCAATTAATTTAGCAACCTCAAGTAGATACATGCAGGGTCACAACTTAGATTGATGTTTTTAAAATTTTAATCAACTTACCACATTTTATTTTGTGCTGATCATTAGCAAAAAGCTTGACCAGCTCCCCCTGATGATTGGAAAAGAATTTAGAGTAAAGAACAGGAAGACCGTCTAATCATAATAAATCACAAAGGTTTTCACAGAAAGTGATAGGGATCAGGAAAGGAGGAAACTTGAAAGAGAACTACTTCAAGTTAAATACGA